ATTCCTAGGTCCTACATTTCCAGGATGTTCTTTTCAAATATAATCCATCTTTGCAGGGCGCGGTGGCTCACACCTGTAATCCCAGCACTTTGGGAAGCTGAGGCAGGCAGATCATCTGACGTCAGGAGTTCAAGACCAGCCTGACCAACATGGTGAAACCCCATCTCTACTAAAAATACAAGTAAGTTAGTTGGCTGTGATGGCACATGCCTGTAGTCCCAGCTACTCAGGAGGATGAAACGGGAGAATTGCTTGAACCTGGGACGTGGAGGCTGCAGTGAGCCAAGATGGTGCCACTGCACTCCAGCCTGGGCAACTGAGACTCTGTCTCAAAAAAAAAAAAAAAAAAAAACCAGGCTGGGCGTGGTGGCTCATGCCTGTGATCCTAGCACTTTGGGAGGCCGAGGTGGGAGGATTGCCTGAGCTCAGGAGTTTGAGACCAGCCTAGGCAACATGGTGAAACCCCTTTTCTACTAAAATACAAGAAATAAATAAATTAGCTGGGTGTGGCGGCAAGGGCCTGTAGTCCCAGCTACTCAGGAGGCTAAGGCAGGAGAATCGCTTGAACCGGGGAGGCGGAGGTTGTAGCAATCCAAGATGGTGCCACTGCACTCCAGCCTGGTGACAGAGCAAGACTCCGTCTCCAAAAAAAACAAACAAACAAACAAACAAAAATAAATAATCCATCTGTAATATTTTGTTTACATGTCACGGTAGTCAGAGTTTTCAAGTTCTAAATTCTAGGGCTTGCTTAAACAAAGTCTATTCTCATCACTTAGATAACAAAGAAATAATTAAGGTTCTTTGTGTGGCATAAATATGCCTTGAATCATGCAGACCAAACCATCACAGAACTTTAGAGCTGAAAGAAACCCTTCAAAACTAATCTAAATTATTATCCTTTACCTTCCAAATTGTTTTATCATCTGTAAATTCACTCTTCCCTATGAGGTAAGAATAATCTGCCCTAACTTGTCCATAGACTCTGTCTATAGGAACACCCTGTAGGTAAATGCAAATAAACTGGGTGGAGTACACTGACAAACTTGGGATCTAAAAGGATAATTGAATTTAACACAATCAATCTTATAAATTTAGTAAAGTCTCAGATCATACTTTAGAAAATTATAAGAATTTCCAAGTCCAGAATGAAAGGAGACTCACCTAGCACATATTTAAAAATAAATAAATTTTAATAGACCTTAGCAATCTTAATGGGCTCAATGAGTCAACAACATAATGTGGCTGCCAAAAAGCTCCTGTGATTAGGAACTAACCACACCAACATCAGTATCCCATCCAGAAGGAATGAGGTAACTGCCCTCTCTGCTACAAGCTGGTTAGAGCACATCTGGAGTATTATATTCAGCTCTGTTCCACATTTTGGGAGAGACACAGAAAGACTGAAAAAGACTAGAAGAGGGCCAGGCACAGTGGCTCATGCCTGTAATCCCAGTATTTTCGGAGGCTCAGGCGGATCACTTGAGGTCAGGAGTTCCAGACCAGCCTGCCCAACATGGTGAAATCCCGTCTCTACTAAAAATACAAAAAGTAGCCAGGCGTGGTGGCATGCACTATAATTCCAGCTACTCAGGAGGCTGAGGCAGGAGAATTGCCTGAAACCATGACGCGGAGGTTGCAATGAGCTGAGACGGCGCCACTGCATTCCAGCCTGGGCAACAGAGTGGAACTCCATCTCAAAACAAAAAACAAAAAAACTATAAGAGAAGTAACCAAGATAGTGAGAAAATTTGAAAACATGTCACATAAAGACCAGTTGAAGGAGCTGAAGTTATTTAGCCCAGACTGAGAGGGATTATGATCCCTGTCCCCAAATCTATAAGAGTTGTCAAGGCACAGAGACAGCCAACTTTTTCTGCATGGTCCCAACAGGCAGAGCCAGATCAATCAGTTAACTAAAAGAAGAAATTTCAGCTAAGCCTATGGAAATATTTCTTCAAATGTAGAGTCACATTAGGAAGTAGTGGCATTTAAAGTCCTGTCTAACCCTAAGGGTCCATAATTTTAAAAATCAAACATTTGGGCCAGCCCGCGGTGGCTCTTGCCTATAATCTCAGCACTTTGGGAGACTGAGGTGGGAGGATAACCTGAGGTCAGAAGTTCGAGACCAGCCTGGCCAACGTGGTGAAACCCCATCTCTACTAAAAATACAAAAACTAGGCGGGCATGGTGGTGTGCACCTGTGATCCCAGCAACTGAGGAAGCTGAGGCAGGAGAATCGCTTGAACCCAGGAGGCAGAGATGGCAGTGAGCCGAAATCGCCCCACTGCACTCTAGCCTGGGCAACAAGAGCGAAACTCCGTCTCAAAAACAAACAAACAAACAAACAAACAAACATCTGTCATTACCTCAGTGTCTTACTGATTATTATTACTTCTAGTATCACAGCATCTCTCTTCACCCTGCTTAAAATGTTCTACCCAGGACCAGGCGCTGTGGCTCACAACCTGTAATTCCAGCACTTTGGGAGGCCAAGGTGGGCGGATCACCTGAGGTCGGGAGCCCAAGACCAGCCTGACCAACATGGAGAAACCCTGTCTCTACTAAAAATACAAAATTAGCTGGGCTTTGTGGCTCATGCCTGTAATCCCAGCTACTCGGGAGGCTGGGGCAGGAGAATCGCTTGAACCCGGCAGACGGAGCTTGTGGAGAGCCGAGATCGCGCCACTGCACTCCAGCCTGGGCAACAGGAGTGAAACTCCGTCTCAAAAAAGAAAAAAAAGTCCTACCCAGCCAACCAATCAGCTGAATGTTTTGCTGGGTTTGTGGGAGAAAAAGTGCCTGCTTGCTGGGCAATTAGTTTCAGTTTGCAGATCAGTGTCCATGTAAATAAAAAAGGGTCCTAATTGAGGGGCAGGCAAGAGCTCTCAGCTAGATCTCCATGAAAGAAATTATTATTAATTCAAAAAGCATCTATAAGACCTATCCAATCAAATAATATATTATCAATGGCACTTAGTTCTTACAGGAACGTTGAAATTAAAAAATACTGTATGTACAACCATCTTCTCAAATGCCAGGGAATCCAACTTTGCAAGCCAAACCAGTTGTCTCAAATTCAATTATAAGTTTTCCTTCTGCCAAAGAGATACGTTTTCTGTTTAAAGCAAACTGGAGCCCATGCTCCATACTTGATCAGATCATGGTAAAGTCAGTTTAGCCGCTGAGAACTAGATACTGGCAATCCAGACTGAATTCACAGAGAAGTACAAACTACCTAATATTTAAAACACAGGAAAGTTATCGAAACTAGACATCCTTCTAAAAATTTTTCACCCAAAGACTACCACAGACGTAAGTATAATGTTCGTTCATGAAAATTACCAAAAGCCTTGAACAGTTCAGATGACAAATATTTTTCAATCCGGCTTTACTGCAGTTTAAATTGAATTGGATTCTAAGCAACTCCAGTGAAAGTATTAGAGAATATAGTAAATATATGACGGACTTAGCAAAAATACTCTGTGCTGCTTCCTCTCTGTGCTTTTTAAAGTGAAGCCTAGAAGCAATCTAAGTGTCCATAAATAAGGGCTTGGTTAAATAAATTATGATACATTCTTACCCTGGAAAATGCAACTATTAAAAAGAATAAAGTAGGCCCTAGATACTGACATTTTTTTTTAAAGTCCATGATACCTAGTTAAGTGAATACCACAAGTGGCAAAACATGTGGAGAATTATTCCATTTTGATTTTTTAAAATCTATTTTTAAATACCCTGTGTGTATGTTCATATATGCCCAGCAAAAACAGTTGAAAAAGATCTGACAAATTGCTAACAGTAGTAACCTCCAGGGACTGACTGAAACTAGGAGGCAGTGAAGGAGTGACTTTCCCTTTTTCCTTTGTGGACTTCTGGTTGTTTGTATTTTTTTGCCAGTAGGGGTAACCTCTGTGGTTGAAAAATAACAACATAAAAATAGTAAAAGTAAAATAAGATGAATTACACAGATCTACGTATCAGATACTAACCAAAGTGATCTTTCTTCTTAAATGCTACTGTATGCTTAAAACTCCAGAGAATCTAATTCATTCTTTTTCTATTATATTTTACTAAAACAAATAAAAATCACCACAAGTCCCTAATAGTTTTCTCAAATGCTTTCTATACACACACACACACACACACACACACACACACACACACCCCCACAGGCCTGGTCATAAGCATAGCTAACACACATGGAGCTTATTCTACACTAGGAACTGTTGTAAACACAGTAAGTGTTAACTTATTTAATCTTCCCAGCAGGCCTGGTGCAGTGAATCATGCCTGAAATCCTCGAAGTTTGGGAGGCCAAGGCAGGAGGATTACTTGAGTTCAGGAATTCAAGACTAGCCTGGGCAATATAGTGAGCCCTCATCTCTACAAAAAATACAAAAAATTAGCTGGGCGTGGTGACTCACGCCTATAGTCTCAGCTACTCAGGAAGCTGAGGTGGGAGGATCGCTTGAGCCTAGGCAGCAGAGGTTGCAGTGAGCCAAGATTGCGCCACTGCACTTCAGCCTGGGCAACAGAGCCAGACCCTGTCTCAAAAAAAAAACAAAAACAAAAACAAAACAGTCTTCACAGCAACCTTATGAAGTAAGTACTACTATAATATTATCTTCATTTCACAATCGAAGAAACTGAGTCCAAAGAACTTCAGTGAGCCGCCTAAGCTTACACAGCTAACAAGGGGAAGAGCTAGGATTCAAACCTAAGAATAAACTCCAGAGTCCATACTCTCAACCACTATGCTTCCTGTCTCTCAGTAATGTCAGTCTTTCTATATGAAAGCCAAAAGGGGTTACAGGTAAAACCCAGCTAGCTAATGTGCTCCTTGAAGCTGGAAGAGATGCACACTTGGCTTTTTATGGGTGAATAATCCTACTTATGTCATTGCCAAGCTCCAACCCAAGGCTCAAGACTGTATTAAGGCTCATAACCACGTGGGAAAATTCTCTACACAATTATAGTCCAAAGTCCATACCTGACTCCACAGTAAATCACTAAGCCTAAGATTTAGGTCAGAGATTCAGCTAGACAAACGATTTGGACAAATCTCTACCCCAACTCAAAGCAAGAGAACTCAAACTTTTGCCCAACATCTTGACAAGGTAGGTTTTCGTTTTGTTTTGTTTTGTTTTAGTTCTAGGCCCACTTTAGATTTAAACGGGGAAAGAATAGGAGTTGTCTCTAACTTTGGTTGAAGACTTCAGCAAGAAAAGCTTTTTCTACATGGGCTCAGACAGAAATTGGCATTTATCAGCATCAGCAAAGTTGAACATCCTAGCTTAAGGAGACAAAAATAGGCATCCTTGCTTAAATTGTGTATTTGTCCAAACATGTTGACCTTATAATTGTGGAAGAAAAAAATGGTGCGAGGAAGAGATTTAACCTAATTTGTAAATGTGCTCAGCCTAGATACACACCTGTCCCAAATGACCTACTGAATCCACTTATGTGCAGGGACAACATGAATTACAATGCCTTTTTTGTTTTTTTGTTTTGCCCTCAAGTGGTCCCTACTACTGTTTGTAAACAAAATCCTCTCACTACCTTTCTTCCACCTGTCATACACACACATCTGATATTTACATAAACAAGAAGAAATGAACGGGGAAACTGGAGCTCTGGGAGGAATTCCTTACCCTCAGCTTTTGACCCAGTGGTTGAAGGAGGTACTATGCGGGCTTTCAAACTTCCCCAAATAACCCAGGCAGAGAGGCTGGGTGCGCGAACCCAACCCAAAAGTTGGCGCCCATTCTGGGTCTCTGAAAAAGGCCAGAAAGCCCTGTTGGGAAGAAGATGAGATGCCTTCCACCCAGCAGCCACCCCCTCCCGAGGGAGCACAGCCCACGGGGGACAAAAGACTTTCCAGATTGATCGGGGGCGGGAGGAGGACTAGCTGGAGCTGGGATCCCCCCTCCGGAGCCAGAACCTGAGAAGTCTTTGGGGCAAGAAACGATAAATTATAGGCAAGAGCCCAACCCCAGATGCCGGGGCTGGGGTGAGGACGGGTCCTGCCCGAGAGGGAGCGCCGGACTCACCTGGAGAAGGCGAAGAGGGGGCCTCGGTGGCAGGTGGGGTTGGGGGGACGCTGCTGCTGCTGCTGCTGCTGCTGGGGAGATCGAGGGTCGGGGTCCGGGGAGTCGTGGGCGCCGGTACGGTGGTCGCTACAGGGGTGGTCGGCACGGGGCCAGTGATCGTCGAAAGGGTGGTCGGCGGGGGTCTGGTCGGCGCCTGAGAGGTGGTCGAAGCGCGTTCCGCCGCCGGAGGGGTAGTCGGCGAGGGGCCGAGCGGCGCCTGAAAGGTGGTGGAAGCGGGTCTGGCTGTCGCCCGAGGAGGGGTGGTCTCCGGGGACTGGGCTGGAGAAGTCGCAGCCAGGGGTCGGTGGACGGTGGCGCGCAGGGGCCCGGTCCTCGGGGCCTGGGCCGTAGGAGCCGTCGCCCTAGGGAAGGGGTGGCTGGGCTCGCCCCGCAACCCAGGGCCCGGCGACGCGTCCACCTGCCCTGCGGCCCCGCTGCCACCGGTGACATTCCCCGCCGAGGCGGCTGAGGCGGCGGCGGCGGCGGCGCAGCACAACAGGGCGAGGCCGCCCAGGCTCGGCAGGCTCCTCATGGCGCGCTCGGCTCCGCCATTCATTCATTCAGCCAGTCGGTTGGTCAGTCATCTTCTCCTCGCTGCAATCCTACCGAGGAAGCTTCCGCAGCCGCCGCCGCCACCGGGCGCACCATCGCCACCTCCCTCTGACAGGCGGCCGGCCCCGCGGGCGGGCCCCAGCGCGGAGGGAGCGACCGGACCAAGCACGGACCGCCCGCCCTCCTCGATTGGCAGCCCCGCCTAACCAATGGGAGGCCAGGGTCGCGCACGTGATCCTCCCGCTTCCCGGCCTCTTTGTGGGCCCGTGGGCCAATCAGAGGACGTCCAGGAGAGGAGGCGGTCCGTTAGGCGGGAGAAGGGTGGTGCGAGCCCAGCTCCAGCCCGCCGGGCTCGCGGCGGCCCCGGCTTTGTCTGCCCAAGGAGTGGGGCGCGGGCCTGGGGCACCGGGCGCCGCGGAGCAGACAAAGGATGCGCCCCGCGCGGCCGACGCCGGGCCTAGTCATCTGCTCCACCGGGCTGCGAGCACGACCCGGGGGTGGATCAGCACTCGGGAGCGTCTCCGCCCTCCTGAACAATGGGGCGCCGGCGCCGTACCCCGGCTCGGGCGGGGACCACGCGGGAACCCCGCGATGGGAGAGGGCGGCGGCAGCGACGATGTAGAGCTTAACATGCCCTCTGCTGCTCCAGAGAGCCTGGTCGCAGCCTTGCGAGGTCTCTGCCGCCATTCCCATTTCAGAGATGGAGAAACTGAGGCCCTTGTTGAGGCCCTCTCTGAACCGAGACCCACGCCGTCACCAGAAACCTGCTGTGGGCCAGGTTGTGTGTCAGGCTGGACGAGGGGGCGGGACCGGGCGGTGGAGACCCCTCAGGGCAGAAGGTGCAGGCCTCCTGCGTGGAGGAGACAGTCTCGCAAGCACACTTCCCTAAACCGCAGGAAGAATAGGATCAGACAGGGTTGAACCTCAACTTGATGTCTCTTGCTGAATGGTTTTGTCGCTTGAGCGCGGTTTTTTCACCACTAAAATGGAGACGATAGGACACCCCTCACCCCGCTCACAGAGCTGTTGTGAGAATTAAGTCATGGACATAAAGGGTTTAGCCCAGCCCCTGGCCCACTGTTGTAACCCTCATTATTGCTAACTATTCTCAGCATTCTGCGCCAGGGCAAGCCTAGGATTAGAAAGCAGCCCCAGGCCACAGCCCTTCAGTGCCCCCAGAGCCTCCGGCTGATTGCAGGGATTGGGGTGGGGCTAATAGCCGAGCTTGACCCTGGGTGACATTAAACCCTGGATCAAGCTGGAATTCGGACACGCAGCCTCGCATCATCCGCCCAGGATCCGAGGTAGGTCAGGCGCTGCTGCTTCGGCTCAGCAGCTTCCAGGGGGAGCCAGGCAGGGCGGGTTTGTCATCTGATGGGGCTTAATCCAAGCCCCACTGCTAACCCAATCGCGGCCTCCCCTACGTGATGTTTGGCTTTGTGCATGGTTTCCCATTAGTCACTGGTCTTCAACCAGACCGGCAGGATGAGATTTTTATGTGTGAACTTGTGTATGTTAATGAAAGCATGCATTTATTTTCCTGCATGAACAGTGGGTGGGGGAGGCTGTGTATGAATGCATAAACATGTTTGTGAGTCTTGTGTGTATGAGTATTGTATGTATCTGCGTGAGTTTATGAGTATGGGGGATTGTATCTATTTTTATACATTGTGTCTTAATAATCTGTGCATGTGTACTGGTGTGTGTTTTTGTGTATTTTCTGTGTTTTTGCATTTGTGGTTATGTATGGGTGTGTCTTGATAGGTCTGTGTATATAAGACAGCGGGAATGAGGGAGAAGGTGAGTGTTCTGTCTTCAGGACCAATATTTAGCAAGCACTAACCAAGGTTCTATTTTTACTTTGCTTTGGAAGTATTCCCTTGCTGATCCTCCCTGGCCCTTCAAACCCCAACCAAAATGCCACATTCTCTAAAAGACGTTCCTGGATTTGAGTGGGAATTAATCTCTCCCCTCTTATATCCCCACCACCCCTTGTTTATGCATTGATTACAGCCCTGATCTACCAATTTACCTCATCCTTGCCTCTTCCTAAAAGGATTAAGGATGGCTTTCAGAAATATATACAACAGGATAAATCGAATTGCCCACATGGCTTTATTACTTCTCATAGGCATGCATCAGCCTTAATACTAGAACTTGTTATTTATGTGTCTGTCTCTTACATCGGCTGTTCTCCCTGTTCTCAGTACCTAGCAGGGGTAACACATGTAAGTGCTAACCCATGCTGGTTAAATTGAATTAATTGAAGTCTTGTGGTGCTTGTGGGAGGAGCTTGTGTCTTTAGAGTCAGACAGACTTGGTTCGTGACTGCCAACTCTGTGACCTTGGAGGAAACCTTTCACCTCTCTGAGCCTCAGTTTTCTTTTTTTTTTTTTTTAATTTGAGACAGAGTTTCACCCTTGTCACCCAGGCTGGAGTGCAATGGCGCCATCTTGGCTCACTGCAACCTCCGCTTCCCAGGTTAAATCCATTCTCCTGCCTCAGCCTCCCGAGTAGCTGGGATTACAGGCACCCACCACCAGGCCCAGTTAATTCCTGTATTTTTAGTAGAGACGGGGTTTCATCATGTTGGCCAGGCTGATCTCGAACACCTGAGATCAGGTGATCCTCCCGCCTAGACCTCCCAAAGTGCTGGGATTACAGACATGAGCTGCCGCGCCAGGCCAGTTTTCTCAACTATTAAATGGGGCCAATAAATCATCTCTCATTTGTTGAGCTAAGGATTGAGGAGAATGGTTTTACAGAGCCTAGCACATAGACAGTGCTCAAGGTGTGTAGGTTCATATTTTTGTTATACTATTGCTAACTTTGAGCCTTGTTGGCTGAAGGACCAGAGCAGAAACCCCTGCCCTGTAAGTTCCCCATCAGGTGACATGGCCTGACAGTTGCCCTACCTGATATTTCCAAATGATATCTGAAAAGTGCTGGGTTGGCCCTGAGCTTTGCTGTATCAGAGGTTCTCTGGCAAGGGGGAAAAAGCTGATGCAGCTTCTTGGCCAGGAGAGACACAGAGCAAATGACTAGAAGACCTTGTCTAGTGATTCAGGTCAGCTCTCTGCCTTAGGCAAGGATCATCCATGCCAGGGCTTTTAAGATGGGATAATTAGCCTGTAATATGTATAGAAAATATTGAATTTTTTGAAAGATTTTAGTAATTTAAATGTATTAATGTCCATTCAACATTTAATTCTTAAATTTCCTTAATCTTAAATCTTCCTTAATCTCTAAACTACAAGATGACTTTCTTAGGAATTTTGTTTGTGTTTAAAAATTGGAAACACCTTACATATCTGCCATCAGACAAAGGTATTATTATACCAGTTAAACTTAATCATATAAAGTCATTGTACGTGTAGCTATGAGGACAGTGTAGCAAATATTAATAGTAAATAATTGAGCTCATAGCCTGTGCTAGACACTATACCAAGAGCTACATATGAATTATTTTGTTTAAT